GCAAGTTCATATATTTAATTGATTAGATTTGAAATAAATCTAGATTATCAAAATACCTCAAGATGTAAAGTTAAAAATTAATGTAATGAAATAACTTTCGAAGAATTGGTTCAAGTATATATTAAAAAGAACTTTAGATATAGGAACTTTTAAGAAATCAATTTCACATTAATCAAGGATTTTTTCATATTCTACAATTTGATATCTTTGTTTTCTAAAATTAGTGTTATAGAAACTTGAGAAATCTATGAACAAGTAAACTTAATTCTGTTTCCCTTAAAATTTCTTATTCATTGCATAAGCATTTAATATTTATTAAGCTCTTATTCCAGAGATGAATTTAGTTTATGGTTTTAGCATTTTGTTTTATATAGTATTATTGAATAATCTGAGTTCTTAAAATTTAAATAGAGGACTTAAAATTATTAGATATCTGAATTATTCTTATTGAAGTATTTTGGGTTAGACTTTCTATCAGGAGTTAATCTACCTCAACCTTGATTTTTGGTTATTATAAAGTTTGTTCATTCCAAAACATCCTTTGAATGTTAGCTAAACAGGTTTTTGTAGGCTATTGTAAATAGAAGATTGCTTTATTATGAGCCATTAAGTATTAAGATGTTGAACTTATTCTTGTTCTAGTTTTATCAGTCTAGGTATTTTCAAGGTTATTAAGACTGGAAAGTTGATCCAGAACACGAATGTAATTATTAAAAGTTTCCTCTAAAACATGAAAAGTATTTACTTTATCCAACTAGTAAGTGAGTATAGCTCCATCTCTTTTTAATTTGTTTATCAATTATGTTTTATACATTATTTTGTAGAATTCTTACTTACTTTCTTAAAAAAAACACCTTGCAATTTATTAGGTAGGATTTATTGAAGGTGAATCTTATAATTTTTTAATTATCATTCTGATGTTAGTTATAATCTAAAGATTCCATAATTTGTTTTTTATAATTTATAGCCAAGATAAACTTTTTTATTCCTTTGAGTTGTGAAAGTAACATTATGAGTTTGTAATTCCGAATGGTTACAATATCAAAGGCAAGACTCACTTCTTCTTAAATTTTTAATTATCAAGTCTAATTTTATGATATTAAACGGGAACCTTCAGATTTTCAACAGAAAAATACTACAAGTCCATCCGTTTTTTTTATAAATGATTGCTTTAATAGTGGTTTTTACTGACCAGTATCAATCCAAAAAATTTCTCCATTCTTTTAAAATTTTAATTAACATTCTTCTTAACTAAATTTAAAATTAGCTCTGTAAATTTGAATTGATAACCTACGGTTGAGGTTTATAAAATAGTAGATAATAGAACCAACCTATGTAGACTTCGGATATCTTAGATCATAATCACAAGAAGGACTGAGACTTTCAGCTTCAAATAGGTTTTAGATCATATTAACCTTTCCCAGCTCTTATTAGATTATCTGCCAATTTTGTCAAATTTTTTCTATCAATCATTCCTTTTTCAGAAAATTGTAAAGCTTACTAAGAAAGTTTAATCTCAATGAGATTTTATGAGTTATAGGATTATGCTGATGTATATTGTTCTAATTCGCATTACTCAAAAAATTATTCCTCAATTTCCAATCTCTATTTTTATTATGTTTTAAGATGAGGATTTCTTGTTTCATTAATCCTTGAATCAATTGTGTCCCCTATGTTTCTTTTTATCCTTAAATAGGATATCTCAGATTAATGTTAGTATTATTTTCTGAATAACAATTATTAGGCTTATTTCTAAAATTAGAAGGTATTTGAGAATGATATAATTTTCCTTACAGATTAATTTTTATTCTCCATATTCTAATTTGATTAATTAAATTTAGCTAATAATTATGGTACTTTTGTATTTAATCGATAAATCGATTTTTCATTAGTATTAATAATCTCTAACAATATTCGTTTTAGCAATTATAAATATGTATTGTTTGATTTATAGTGTTTATTTTGAATTTTTTTAGATAAATTATAAATTTTATTAAGTATTATTGAAGTTTGGTGATAATTTTGTTTGTAAAATTATACATTCCTTTAACAGATTAATTTCAATATAATATGATGTATTTTTAACAATTAGTTCAGATAATCTATGAAATTTTTATGTTTTTTCTAAATTATATCTCCATATTTTTAAATATATTTCAGAGTTACTCCAAAATTGAAGTTGATTAATATAATGCTGCTTTTTATTTATATTTTACACCTAAACCTTGCTAAATACTATTATCGAAGTGAATAAGAGAGATTAAAAAGTTGTAACTTAAAATTAAATATATTCCTAATAATCGATATCTTGAGAGATAAAAATATACATAAAATAATGTCAATGAGGAGAATAATGGACATTCAACCATATTAAATTTTATACTAGTAAATGATATGATAAATATCTATAATTTGAAGAAGAATTAGATAATTATTTGCTATCTGGTTCTCAAAAATATCAGTTGTAATCTCCCAAGATTATGTATGCGAAATAATTTAACTTTAAATAAAGAATTTTATGAAATTGTCAAAAAAATTCAAGACATGGTGTAGAGATGGAAATAGAGTGAAAATATAATATTCATACTATTATTATCATATAGAAAAGAGTTAGAATACATTTTGACTTATTCAGAAATCTACTATATTAATTAGGTTAAAAAGCAATCTTAAGCATGATTGCTGTCAGTTATTTGTTAGCTTTATGACCTAATAAAATCATTAAACTTATGATCTGTTTTTTATTTTCTCTATCTTATATTTAACAAATTAGTATAATGTCATAGTCGAATGAGTCAGAGTGATTTATAAAAGAAAAAATAGAATTGGATGAATGGCATAGTATTTTATAATTCAAGATGAATATTAATTTATATTGATAGTCATATATTGTTATTTGAATTAAGTAAATAAAGTTTTTTTTTAATAATATTCATAATTTTAATAAATGAAATTCTTATAATTCATAATTAAAAGTAATTCAATAAAATTCATCAACTTAAATATAATTTTCAAAAAGGGAACCCTATTTAGGTTGCAGTTTCAAAGCCTCATTAAATAATTATTTTTTCTACCAAAATTTTTAATTGAAAACTATACTGTATGAATTCAAGAAATTTGAAAAACTCCATCCTTAAAGATATTTAGCATGTAAGTTCCAAACCCGTTATTTTAATTTTTGTTCCAAAATTTAATTTGTTTGTAAAAATACAAATTTCAAATTTTTGAGATGATAAAACTAATAAAGTATTTTTTTATTCTACTTATATATTAATTAATTAGATATTTTTAGTCCTATGGCAATCTTATTTTTCTTATTATACTTACTATTGAAAATGACAAAGATAACTAATAAGATTTTGAAATCAAACCCTAAACTCAATCATTACTAAATTGCAAGTTTTAGTGATGATGGAATTTATAAGTGTAAATTTTCAAGCATCGAAAATTATGAAATAAGTAATTAATTAAGAATCTATAAAAATTTAATATTGGATTTATAATCTTCAATAATTGTTGTTAAAACTTAAATGGAAATCAAGAAGTAATACAAAATTAAGAAAATAATAAAAATTACAGTTTTTAAATATTGAGAAGACTCGATTGTCAAAAAATTTAAACTTTTCATGATTTTATTAAATTCAAATTTATTTACATTTGCCTTCTTATGAGGTTGAAACTTCATATAATTGTAGGAATTTTATTTTCTTAATTCCTCAATAAATAATGAAAAGGATTTCATTAAAAGATAATCTAATCGATAAAAACTATTTCTAAGTTATCAGCAGCCCACAATAGAATACATTCGACTGCAATTCACCTCACAATTTAAGGTTTTAAGTGCTGATTGTATTATATAATATAAATTAATCCTCCTTTCAATAAATTACAATTAATAGATTTATTTTAGC